TATCTAAGGTGCTGATAACAGTAGTATATCAGTTGGATGGCCTACTCGAGAGTTGCATGGTGCAGATGCTTGGCCGAGCGCTTTCGGCTAGCTATGTCTACCGAAATGGATACGACCGACTTCCGTTTCTAGTACGAGAACTATTTATTTTCGCATTTACTTATCACTGTATAATTAAATCATGAGGACTACGAGACATGACGCGTCGAAATCAACCAATTTTCGACAATCTTTCTGCGTTTATAAGTGTCTGGTAGCCATTTCTTATTCGTCGCTACATAAATATAGTCCCACTCACTAGTGCCTCACTTATCAGTATCCTAATGACCACATTGTGAGATTGTTCCTTGGTACACCCTAGGTTTTTTGACTGAATAATTTTATTTTTATATTGATTTTTGGCGAACCAATTCACCAGATGCATCGTGAGTAGCTTGTTCAAAATGGAGTCTTTGAAATCATCATCTGAAAATCTAGCCAATGAACTCTGATAATTCGGATCTTGAATGTTGTTGTTCCCTTTATAGCTACTTACTTACGCCTTCTACACTTCGCGAAGGAGCATAGGCCGCCCACCATCACTCTCCATCCAACTCTGTCATGAGAAATCCTTTTCAGTTGTTTCTCGTTGCTATTCATCCTTTTCGTGTCTCTTTCCAGTTCTTAATACAGTATGTTCTTTTGCGTCCTTCTTTTCCTTTTCCCTTCAGGACTCCAAGTTAATGTTTGCCTTGTGATGAAGTTTGATATTTTCCGTAATGTATGTCCTGTCCACTTCCAAAGCCTTTTTCTAACTTCTTCAACTTGTAGCTGGTTTGAACTCTTCCGTAGTATGTTGCTGCTGATGGCAACTGTTTGTAAATAATTGTACCTTATTTATTATGGTGGCAGTGGTTCTGTAGAATTATTATCTACTTTGTTATTAGTACTATAACAATGATGGACCAAATCCTAAAATTGTAGATTTGTCATAACGTAACTACCCAATCTATGAGATCTTACGTGGAAATCATGTCACTGCTTATCCTGTCTCGTCCTATCGTAAGAATCACCAATATGATGTTACCTATTTCTGGAGATAGAACAATATATTTAGTATGAATAAAAGAGATTAGTTACACAACAGTGACCGCGCCTGCAAGGCTGAACCACGCCAACCGATTTATCTAATTAATACTTCCTGCCTTCCTCATTGTTGATCTTTCCTCTGTGTTAATTGTTGAATATGAATTTGCCCAGTTATCTCATGTTCAGCTTTGAAGATTGTGTGGTTAGAATCAGTCCCACTACAGGGGCATGTTGTGGCTGAAAATAATGGCATAAACGACAATTGGAGACAAGAGGTAATTTTCATTCCCATATATATTCAATAACCACTCGACTGCTTGGTCACAAGGTGATGCAAAAGAATGAAAAAAACCAAAAGTATATTTCGGCTCGGGTGTTTCATATCCCGATGGATTCATTTTTAGATTTTCTACGGCCAAGCGTATATGGAACGTTTGATTCAACTGACAAACAGTAATTGTCATTATGCATATGGACGAAGGGTAAAATTTACCTGACGTAAATTTATACATTCGGTAGCAATATTTTCGGGAAACATATAGATTACATGACTGAATCGGAGTAAGACGGCATGTAATGACAAACGTATTGCTACAAGGTGAGTAATATTTGTGTAATGTTTCAAAAAGATGAATAAAAACTATTTTCAGAGTAGATACTGAATAAATTTACTTGCTTTCCTACTTCAGACTGTAGCGGCATTGGGCCCTAACCACATAATCTTCAAGGCTGAACACGGGACTACTGGGAAAATAGATGTTCAATATGTAACGCGGAGAAAAACCCAGCGATGTAGAAGGCGGAAAGAATGAATAGAATGAATTCGAATTAGTCGGATGGCATGGCTTGGCCTTACATGATATGCCTTTCCTTATTGTTCCCTGGATAAAAGGTTATGCCCTTCCGTATAGTTTATAAAAGCCACCTGAATAACTTTTTTCCACCAGTTTTACAACTGCACTAGCTAGACTAACGAGTCGATAGTTACTAACTAAATCTCTACTCTCCGCCTTATAGACCGAACTGATTATTGCGTTTTTTTCAGTTTTTTGACAGTCTTAACTGCTGCAGAGACATATCAAACACTATGGTTATAGGTTCAGAACTTAAATTCTATAGGACTTTCATAAACCTAGGATGAATATCGTCAGGTTTGAGGCTCTGAATTAGTTTTGAGACAATACCTTTCCCAATAACTACGGGATCCACCAACAATCCACCACAGTCTCAAGTATTCTTTGACCGTTCCTAATTGCTGATAAAAAACGCTTTGCTGAAACGTGCTGATAAAGCCTCAGTCCTTTCAGCATCATCTCTTGTCAATATTAACGGATTTTCTTCTGCCAAAAGTGATGGAATTCCATCACCTCTCTGGTTTCACCTTTATGTACACGAGAATAACCGTTTTGGACTATTTTTACAATCCATAACCAATTGTTTTTCATGTCTAGTCTTATTTATTAACGCTTTATAAGCATTCCTTGTCTTACAATAACTGAATCTGTACTGTTCTAGACCAGTAAAGATGAAGATATTCCAACGATTTTTCCTATGTTTTAGAAGTTCCTTGACTTTTCTAGTTATTCATGATGGGCAGTTGTTCGGTCTACGTGTTACCAGGCATTGTATAAACGAAGACTTAATTGAGCTAAACTTGCCTTTATGCTTCTTCAACTAATAATTTGTTATCTATTGACCAATTTATCTTAACAGCGCACATCCGAATGGCTGATGTGTTAGCTCTCCATACATTTGGACGAGGCTTAACGTGATCGTATATCATTTCACTAGCTCTAAACGTGAATGACAAAACAGCATGATCGTTATTCACTAACAGTGGAAGAATATTTAGGTTGGCATTATCCTCAGTCTCATGTGTGATCACCAAGTCTAAAAAAGAAGAACCTTGGTTTGCACCAAAGCGTGTGGGTTTGGATACATGTGTAATAATGCTTGCTCTATTACCGTTGTTGGGATCCTGCTATCAAACGCGTTTATAGATCCTACCATGGTCATCTCAGTTTAACTAATATCAGACACATTAGTCTCCTAATATCAAGCATCTGTTATTTGCATTTCATAGCTGAATGTGCTCTAAAATAAAGTCATCAGCTAAGTAAATTGGGTTGTGATATATGACACCGAGTATAAATGAACATCATCCGATAGTCAGCTCAAAGCTAATAACTTCACAAGTTCTATTATCACGAGAGTCTCAAGCAAAGGAGCGGATATTTATATTAGTGGCTATATATAAAATGAAGACGACACATCCTTATCTACATCTATATCTGTCACTTCTTAGGTAGTTGTATCCAGATAGTCCTGGAGTGATTTCAAAGTTGTGGACTAACCAAGTTTCCGTCACAGCTGCAACGAGTGGCCTTAATTTGTCCACTAATGTTCCTAGTTCATATAATTTATTTCTTAGACCTCGAAGATTGGTAAATAAAACTTATAGGGAGAACGGCCTATCCACGCAGGCCTTAGTAGCATTCACTTCCAAGACCAGACTATTCGAAAACACACTAAGTGGAGATTTTCGCCACCAATTTGTTGATGGGTTTCTAGTTCAACTAGTGCTTAATTCCTTTTTATTTTATCTTCTAGAGACATATGAGGTCTTACTGCAATGTTGATATTGTCGTAACAAAAGATCATTTTGCTTCTGTGACCCTAGGATTACCTTAAAGAGTCTATATGGTCGTGATTTACCACTATCGTTGATCCTCTTACCTCAATTTTTAACCTGAACTCCTTTAAATTTATCTGATAAGATGCAACAGATAAATAATTCGAGCCTTTCGGAAGCATTCGCGCGTCTAATTTGGTGATCAGGATCGCTTGACTCCGAAGAATTACGCACAATCATATCTGAAGGGATTAAATGCTCAAAATGTCAGGGGGAGTTCTGTATTACCATAAGACTTTGGTAGTGTATTTTGTGACTCAGAATAAGAGTTCACCACCGACTTGACACTCAAGTGTGTTCTGCTAATAGCCTTTTTCTTTTCACTTCTTTTTCTCTGTACTGCTGACCGTTTTTCATCATTCAGGACAGTCACACAGGGACTATTTGGGACGGTGACGGTTTTATCCGGGTCTACACTTTCTACTGAAGGTGCATGACTAAATACGCCACTATCAAGTGGAACTTCACTCCTCGTTAGTTTCGACAGAATTTTACTTCTCCGTCAATCACAGTCGGGTGTTTTACGTGTCCCGTATCTGCATGTACTACACTGAAATATTCTTCACTCTTAGTACTCGTTTTACCACAGCAACCGCCATTTTTCTTCTTATAGGCCAAAGCTGAGAGGCTCATGGCCTCCTGGATCGGCAACGTCTCATACGTAAAGCAAAGCATACAAAGTTAGGATTCAAGCATCTTTAGTATGTGGTGGGACAAAAACGGGTACACATTTTATGGAACTACTTTTTGCACTCATCATATTGCATTCCTTCTTCCACGGAGAATAAACCATTTGACTGTCAGCATTTATGAGTAATGCTAACCATTGTAATAAGATTAAGGATTAAAACACAGTATGATCACAATATTAACACAAGTGTCAGAGTCAATGTAAGAGAAAGCTCAAAAAGACAAAGTTTAGCTAAACTTCAAACCATAGCCGAAATATTTCGAGTGAAAGCAGACCAGGAATGCTTTCTGATGCAATAAGTACAAAAAAGCAGTGACTGAACTTTTTGGAACATGCGCGTAAAGAACACTGTATACTTGATATCGCGACCATTTGAACCATTTGAATCGTTTAAAAGGATGTCTGGAAAGTAGTTGCCACATTTTGGTGTACTTAAATAGTACATGTTTATGTGGAGCGAAACCGGCGTGAGTTTTCTGGGCTGAAGTAATTCCAGTTGTTTAAATTTTTCACGAAATAGCATTTGTTCAGGTCGCAATTGGACTTTCAGTTGTGTTCTCGTGAGTGTTAGTGACTTGTCTTTACCGCAGATTACGTAACAGTAAGTGACCCTAGCTCAACTTATGATGACTGTTCGATATTATATTGAGTACCTAAAAGTCCTAAGTATTTATTAATAGGGGTTACATTATGAAATATAGTAAATAGTTGTATGAATTTCAATAAATACTTCGTCAACAAACGTGTGAAGCTAAAAGCGACCATATGGAGTCAAAGATGATATAGTGCATATGTTTTTTCCTCTCATTCCCACCTTCTATATACTCTTTAGCCTCACGTTTTTACTAATCATGTTGGCTTGAATGTTATAAAGGTTAATAAACAGATGAACGCTCGGGATTGATCGTCACTCATAAGAACTGGTGACCCTTGTTGATCGCCGTGATATGTGGTACTGTGACAGTCCAGCGTCCCTTCCAGTTTATCAATAGAGGTAGATGGTTTTAACTCGACACTTCCCACTCATATTAACCTCTTAAAACCAAAATAAGTGTATATTATCAGTGATTACACTCTGATCTCTTTTGTTGCGATGTTTTCTAATCGCTGTCTTTTCCAAAGTTTCTAGTATTTGGACCGTATCTAAGGCTACGTAGTCCTGTCGGATGTTCAGTTTCAGTTACCCAAGCGAATATTGGTGCAGTTATCTAACGAAATGGGATCTTATATTGATGAGGATACTGGTGATAATTCAAACATCTCTGAAATAACACTACAGTCGGACACTTCTATGAGTGAACAACAAAATGCTCGTATGTATCTTTTCCCTGTTTATTCGGGTTGCTATTACTGCGTTTTGTATTTCATAATATTTTGCTCTCGTTTTAATGGCGTGATCGGCAAAAATTTTGTCAACATGTGCCTAACTTCACCAAAATTTTCACAACATTGTCGTAGATTTTATACGACTCACATAAAAGTACATCTCTATTGGCGAACTGTCTTTAGCATACGTATCCGTTCGACTCCAAAGATCTCGAACCCAGTCGTTTTTAATGTATTTGAAAATACTTCGTGCTCTGAAAAATCATGTTTGCTAATGATATTTTTTAACGAGTGATTTGGCGTTTGGATTGTGATCGCACAGCCTTCCTTCATTTGTTTAGTTACTCTATGGCAACGAGCATTCAAGAAGGTTAAGTCAATAGACCTGGACTCATGGAGCAATCTACCATGGGATAAATGTCCTGTTCGATGCGCCCTCAGACACCGGTACAGCGCAATCAAGAAGAAATGGGTTGTGGATGAAGTGCAGATCAAAATGGAATCAGAACCGTTTGACCGTGGAGCAATGCGGGAATGCTTTAGAATGTACGTATATATTTAGTGTTTTCACTCTTATGTCTACACGTTCCGTACTTTCACCTATTTTTATTCGTACTACTGAAAATAGTCTAACAAAACGCAATATTCTATTTCACCATCAAAACTGACTGCTTTCTCAATAACTTCTGTAGGAAAAAACAGAGTCAGAGAGCATCAGGTACTAATGACTGGCACCATACGTCAAATTATGTGGCCAAGCGATACATAGCCCCTACAGACAAACAGATATACTTTGACGATGTACGTCTACAAATGGAAGCAAAGTTATGGGGTGAAGCTTTCAATCGCCATAATCCTCCCAAAAAGGTACGTTTTTCATTCCTTCAGAATATCTGAACACATTTAATATTTGTACTTAATTAGTTCCTAGTCTAATTATTTATTTTCTGTTTACTAAGATGATAATAATTACTGACTTCGCTCAAAGCATGATCTCCAACTCCTCTTTATGTAGCTCTTTCCAAAATATTTCATTTTTTCATGTTTTATGACAGACTTTTTATTCGTTTTATGAGTACGAAAGCCACTTATTTGAGATTTGCACCATCCGCGATATTCTGATTACTGACCATATTTCATCAGGTGCACAGAATCCCTGTTGTCTATTGGTGATAACTTGAACTATAGTAAGTCGCATATGTATCTGGTGCCCCCTTGTACCAATATTTCTGTGTTCAAATAAATAAATAAGTTATCTATCTAATAAAGAAGTATATTGCTCAGTAGTTCCCTCTGGGTTTTTTTTCGATTATGCGACATGTCCATTAAGAACGGGAAATATCGTAGGTACTACATTGTATTTGTTTTCAAAGGATTACTGTAATTCGGTGAAATCGTGTCTCCGTCTTTTGTACTGCAATAATTTCTACCATGTTTTTTTATTTATTCCTGTGCTCTTAAAAATCGTAACAACAAGGATTGCTAAACTTATACTGAGTTCTACGTTTATATAACTCGCTATCAGTAAATTTATATTTGATTTTAAAGGTGGATATCTTCCAGCTGTCTATTCTCGAATTGTCTCCTGACAGTTCTGTTGGTAGTGATCAATTAGATTTTTCACCAGTATTTTTTCATATTGAACGCTTTATGGAAGGAGAATATCGTAAATACAACTCAAATTCTGGCTTCGTTGATGAGTGCTTACGTAATACCCCACAGGTATGTGTGCTAGACAAATCTATTTATTTAAAGCAGTCATCATATTACTAAGAACCACTAAAACCCAGAGATTATTGTAGAACCCTCCAGCTAATGTCCAGTGTCTGTTATTTATACAATTAAATCTAAGGCTTCCGAGTCCCATAGCTTATGTGTTACCAATGGTTTAGGTCAACTAGTTGACATTTCTTAAGTCTTTAGTTTTAATCTGCATAATTTCCGAAAAACTATTTAAGTTCATAAACTTTGTCAGTCAGTCAGTCAGTAACAACGTAAAACTTCGTACGTACGTACGTACATCAGTTCGAGTTGCCACACCACATTAGCACAGAGATGCAGTTGTCGATTCAAATCCCGTAGTGGTAGAGGTAATAAGAGTATAAGCAGTAATCGGGAAGATTATGGTTTGGAGATGTTATTTAAAGAGTATAATCCAGTGAAATAAATTTGGAAAGAGGAAAAAAGGGACATGAAGAATTCAGAAGATTAGAATTTGGGAGAACACAGAGAGTGGATGCACCTACGCCATTGCAAACGATTTTGAGCCATGTCATTCAGGGTCTCTAACCATCTGGTTTGTTTTTACAAATATCGCTTAAGTATTTGGCCTATTAGTAACTATACAATTGTAAATGCATTGTGTTACTACAAAACCTAAAATGACATACTGCTTTTCCAGTGTACACTACTGTAGTGGCAAATAACCACAAAATTGACTGCTTTGTAGCGATACAGCATCTATACTTATCTTTTTAGTTTTAGCGGGCACATATGTACTGCGGCCATCTCAAAATCCGACTCAGCACCCACAGCGCTGTTGGTAGTAAGGGCAGCCTTGTTAGTCAATTTTGGTAGTCGGCGAGACCGGATACATCCACCATTCTGCTATGAACCGGATTAATTAGATTCTGATTTCGGGGTTCACTGATATCTTGCGGGCTGTCTAATGTGTATGAATAGGTACCTAAATTACATGAGTCTCGACTTTTGTATGTACGTATGTAAGCATATGTCAGACGGACTCGCGCATGGAACGTAAGTTAAAACATTTGCCCTATATCTAATACAATCAGCGGCCGTATCCCTCAGGTTAAATACAACAAAGATGGTAGCAAATACTAGGGAGAGGTGACCATTAAACCTCTCTGAAAGAGTTTTTATGTTTACGTGTATGGCATGAAGTGCAGGGGCGAGTCTTAGCATTGGTGATATTCATATAATACGCAAGTGACAGTCAGTTGTAGTAAATACGTTCAGAGGGAGCGATAACCGTCTACCCTCCCAGGTATGTGTATATACCTATAAGTATGCTATGGGACTCACGAGTGGAAATTTGTTACTGGTGTGCATGTAACGTATATTTGCTCATAGTGTAAGTATACCAATGTTAGCGGTATGTATGTATACTATACTTGCCTCTGGTGCAACGCCCGCGCTCCAAGACCTGCGGACATCGGTTTTTCCACTCATTCATATTCATGCAGTGGGTTCGTGAACACTGTAAGACGAAGACCATTTCCAGGAAAGCCAATAGGCTCCACCGGACAAAAACTGACCAACCTCAACAAGGCTGGAACGCATTACGGCGGCCATATCATTGAACACCTACGTGAGACGCTTCTTTAGCTAGTCACCCTAGTGATCTCACGTTCATCCAACTCGACCAGTAGTCAAATGTCATTTATTATCCTTATCATCTGCCTCAATTAAATTTTACGTACTGTAGCTAACATCATCTGATCCGGTTGTGACAAGGAAATCCTTATCATATTAATTCTTAACATCGATCACATGGTCATCTAAGTAATAGCACCGTTGATAACTTGGCAGTTATGGTTTTGCCTATCCAACTAAATGGTTTATGACTGTTAGTCAAAGTACCCAGACATCTCTTTAATTTAACATATCCATTCACTGCGGTCGAGGGTTACAGTTCGCATTGAGCGCACTTTATGCAGAAACTCATTTAACTGTTAGTGGGACTGTCGTTGTGTCGAATGCATTTTAGTTCGACTCCGGTATGCTGGTCCCTTATGATAGATGTATCTCATTAGTATGTATGATTCTAGACTAGCTAGCCTAGTTCTCATTTAGTCAAAATACCATTACTAAATTTCTGTAGGAATCGCCTGAGTGGAAATTTGTGAAAAAATAAAGATATACATATATTTCAAACAAAACGATTTAATCAGTGTTCTTAAGAACATGACCATCTTGCTTACTTATGAAATGTTCATTTCTTACTAGACCTTTAGCCATTTCACATTTGAACGTTCTGGTCACCGATTGTTAGTAGTAGATATCCAAGGTGTTGGAGACTTGTACACTGATCCTCAAATTCATACATCAGATGGAGTGGGCTACAATGACGGCAATCTAGGTACGCGGGGTATGGCTTTATTCTTTCATAGCCATAGATGTAATCCTTTATGTAAATGGCTGGGATTGGCCCAATTTGATTTAGCACCCTCTGAATTAGATGAGCCAATGCGGTGTCAACAAACTGACCAAATTCCACCTAACCCCTCAGAAAAAGAAGTTAATCAAGTAAGATTACCTTATTTTTTGTCAATTTACTTATTACAAAATTCCTTGTAATTAATTTCCACTTTTTTTTTGATTGGTTGTCATATTTTATGGAGTTAAAAGTAGATTAACTGCTTTGTATTTATGATTGGAACTCGCATAACTAAGTCATTTTAGCTGTCCTTCACTTGTCTAGATATTGACTGATAAGTAACGGTGAAAATTATTTACGTTGATGGATGTCGAAAAGTGGAATTTTACATAAAGCTGGTTCATGCTTCTATGCATAACTGTCTGTATTCGAAAATAGCTATAGATAAACTGCATATCTTATAGTCTGATGTAAAACTTAGTATAAAAGCTTATTGAATGACCACTGAATTATCTAGAACTAAGCTCATCAATTGAGTTGTTATTAACCGTTAGTTGATGATAAGATTATCCTTCTGTTAAGTCTCCCACTCCCTCTATTGCTTAGTACACCTCAGACACTACTTCGCTCGGCTGGTCCCCAAATCAAAATACAGCTTAAATAGGAACATAATTATATTCTTAACAAAATTGCAAGTTTCATGCAGTAGAATGTCAGTGTATTCATGATTCTTCATAGAAAAATTCTAGTCTTCTGCAACTTTCCACTAACTCTGATCGGCTAAAAATGGCCTAGTCAGTGTTTCATTTTGATCCTATCTAGAAAATATAATCAAATCTATATTCTGCTAACACCTAGTCGTGGAATACATCAGACTAGAAAAAAGTATTATCTTTTTATCATTTCTTAATGTTCATTCACTTCACGTTGGTTTATAATGAGAAATATACTAATTATTTGAGAACATATAATCACCATCTGTACTTTAAACTTCACTTAAGATCAAAATTAGCATAAAACAAAATACCTATGAAAATTATAAAGTCTGAAAAAACAATCCTTTCTTTGTCACTATCTCATTTTTAGATTGACCTGAGTATATATGGGATGTTTCGCAAATCGAAATTTCGTCGACGCACAATCAGTCTAAATAATCAGATGTCCTGTAAATCTCCGTCTCACTTATATGGTCCGACAGTTGTTCGTTCATCTGAGAGCATGCTCATGTCGGAACTTTCTGAAACTCGTCGTCGTTGTGCTAGTGTCTCACTTTGTGATCATCCTAAATCTGTGGGACAAAGTTCGGATTGCGTATCATCTTTCCATTCAGTAGGTGACGGTCTTTCATTCGACAGCCCTGACGCTCTGAAGCTTCGTGAAACATGTCTAAATCCCCCTTTCCAGCTATCAAGCCGCCAACTTTCACCTGATTTAAATATATCTGGTCATGGACAGAGTTGTCCACAACCAATGCAAAATTTCAGTTCGATTGTCCCCAAGCAACCGGATTCAAGAAATCGTGCAGCATCTGGTGACTCGGGATATGTTGGACGAATTAATTTAATCCAACCTTGTTCCGACCTACCTGTTAGTAGATCTCACGAAATTGCTTCTGGATTCGATCAAAACTGTGTGGATTTTTGTGGTGATTCTACCTCAGTTGATTTACCAGTACGTGTATCTCAATCTAATGTCCTGGGTATGCGGTCCTTAGAATCTCATTCATTAGTGGATGAAGCCTTTCCTACGGGATCAAATTATTCAATTTCCAATCGTAGTATCTTTATTTCCAAAAGACAGCGTAATATCAGTGAATCTAGTGATGTAGATGCGGAAGAATGTCATCGTGTGCCAGGAAATTTGTTGTATCAACTAATGCATGAAAATCACAAACCCAGTTGTGCCGATCATCCTACAAACTTGGATCAAGAAATTGGCCATTCCATTCTTGGGCAAGTAAGTCCAAATTAAATTTATAAAAATTAAAGAACAAGGTATATTCCTTTTTTAATGAAACTTATCATACACAATCCTATACTTTATCCAAAGTTTCCTGGAATTCAGTCAAATCTTCCTGATAAAGTTATCTGACAAATAATCATTCTTTCAATGAATTTGTTAAACAATTCTCATAATGGAAATTAAAATATAATTTATGTTACCACATTATTTAAGCAAACCGTCCATTGGTTGTCGTCTTAACACTTTATCAGCTAATCTGGGATTGGTTAGTTGTTATACTTCCAGAAACTATGTGAGGATCCCCTTTTTGTTCATTCATTTCGGAAACTTTCACACTAAAATGGAACTTTATTCTAATGATGAATATTTCCTGACCACTTCATGCCTAACACCGTCTAAGTCTATGTGTTGTGAGTTATTCTTCTGAAAATCCCCATAATTTTGTCTACAAAATGGAGGGACATTGTGTGGTCTTCTGTACATTCATTAAATATCCATTCAGCTTAAAGACCCGTCATATTTGTTTTGTATATTTTTATATCCTCATTAAATCTGTACCATAATCTCTAATTTTCCCAAAAAGTACCTCATGATCCATCTTCACTGTTTAAGTCACTAGATCCAAATAGCCAAAACATATACTCTAAATCAAATGTTTATGTTTTCTCCTCATCTCATTGAAGTGATTAAACTAGAAAGACTTGTTCCAGCTTCTTTTGTTTAATTCAAATGGTAATTACTTTTATACTTCTAACTGAAATATCTGGAACACTGAAAAACATATATGAATCAAATTTGGCAAAATCTTTCGAAGAATTTTCTTTCTATCTTTACATTTCTTCATGATTATAAAGTTTGAAGAGTGAACTCAAATTCAATCAATAAGTAATAATGTTTGAACCACACAATTTTTATGATGTTGAAAATATCACAATTTTAGATCGTTTACAAGAAATGTATTAATAAAATGTAAGTACATAATTAAGAAGCAAGGAATGAATTAGATTTCAGTAAAGATTGTTTAGTCCAAATAAACGTTTCTGGTTTCATCATCTTTCATTTTCTTTCCCTGAGCATTTAAGTTTTTCCCCTCAAGTAGACTTGTTCTACTAACTCATTAAAACTGTTATTCCAATTATTTGTAATGAACTAAAAAGTGAAGCTTTCTTTTTTATGAAAAAAAAACAGATACATCATGAACTTGCTAGACTTCATGAAGCTGGACGTTTCATTCCAAATAAAGGTCAATGGTCACATGTAGGATTAAGAGGTGGAAGGATTTTCAACAAGGACTCTTGGGAAGTTAGTGAGTTCGAAGAATCACATAACGAAGCAAATAATGACCCAGTAACTTTGATCGATTGGTCAGCCGTCCTATTCCATGAAGGTCACGCTGCTCAGCTAGGCTGTCTGGAAGCCATGATAGTCATGGCACATTATTATCTTGGTTTACCAACTCAGCTGCTACTGGAGTGCCCAATAAAAGTAAGTTATTTTGTTTCTTAACTCACTTTTTGTGAGATATTCATAATTATGGAACACCAATCACAGATCTCTCAGTTTCAGTTTCCGACAGACTTGAAATAAAGTATCTCAATGTAAGACGTTATAATTTTCTACAATATAATTTTACACTATATTCCAGTTACCCATTTTACCAGTGTGTTTACTTCGAATACCTTTGCTTTCAGGTTTATTTCTAGTAACTTTAACACTCGTAGCATATAAGTTACCGACTCAAATGGATATCATACGGTTGTAACAGAACTCATTTAAGTTGGACTTCCATTTATCTTCTAGGGGGGTGCTAAGATAATGTTATTTTTTATTTATAGACTGAAGTTTTAGTCGTAAGAATCCCATCTTTATCCTGGGTCAAAAGAACCTGTATGTATGCAGTAAATTTTGTAAGTTGTATGCAATTGTCGCTTTGTTAGTGATCCAGTTTTAAAGATCTTGCTTAACTGTCATGTTCTTTTTTTCTGACAACGATGACAAAAGTCATCTTCCGAAATCTACACTGCTTTTATCTCAGTATGATCAGTTTCATTACCTAACGTATCTTTATTTATCCCGTAATATAGTAATCCATGTGAAATTTCTACATGTAGCCTTAGCACTCAAAGCCCGTTACGTTAAGAATTATTTGTGATATAAACTTGCTAATTTTGAAGTTTGTTCCGTAAACCACTGGTCCACATAGTTATAGCTACACTCATCACTAAAATCTGTGGCTTATTGCGTGAAATCGAAGTCTTACAGGTTTTCTGTATTTTATTTCTTGTGATAAGGACGACTGGTGTAAACTAGGTTTGCTTTCTATCTTGAAGTTGTATTCATATCTCATGTTGTAAATGTAATCTATGTTGATTCTAAAAATCAGTATTTAGGATCTTTTAGCTTATTTAGGGTACTTCAAACATACAATTAACAAATATTTAAATGCTCCACCATCTTAACCTTATGTTTATTAATAAATCTTTCGCTTATCAGCCGGATCCAAGTGATATACGTATTGGTATCGATCATCTTTGGCGTGCTGCAGAAGGTGGTGATCGTCGATGCATGATCCTACTCGCTCGCTATCTAGATTTGTCAGTTAATTTCCTAAATCCAGGACATCAACTCAACTTCGTAACAAATTCGCGTGACATATTTATGCTTCCTGCCTTACAATCGTTTCTTAACAACGATAGTCATTCATTACTTCCCTCCATATCCCCCGATTCTTGGTCCGAAGCTATAGGGTGGTATAAACGAGCGGTCGATAGCGCGGTAGGTTCATCCGCTTCCAGTGATGGATGTACAGATGAAGGTTTAGATGCGGAAGGTCACTATGATGCTGCTGAAGATTTGTTACCTGTTTATCGTATCTTGGCTCGTATGGCTGAAATGTATTCTGTCGGTGGCTTCGGTCTTAAGCAGAATTTTTCTTTAGCTGGTAAGTTTGTACTTGTAAAATTTGATATTTTGCGCTGTATAACAAAGTAAGTAGTAGGGTTTGTCAATGGATACAGTATACTAGTAATAATTATTATTTCGTCCACCTTGTTGCTTTAAGAAAATCAAGTAAAGTGAGAATAGCACGATTTACAGAATAAAATGAATTCATTTTATTTCGAGACTTCTCATCAGGTACGAATCACTTGAAGCTACGATAACTAATATTATTATGAACAACGTTGTTCATTCCTTAATCAGTAAAGAGAAGTTTAAACCAAAACAGAAAGACATGGGAAATGGGAAGAATACAAGGTATATTCTACACAGTTGTCAAGAGTGAACAGTATTTATGTGTTAAAAGTGAAGCCATATAATGAATTGTGTTTTATCATAAGTAATGATCAGCAAACAAAATGAAAAAACGTCAACAAATTAGTGATCTTAAAGTCAAGCCACCTAGTTAATATAAAATAGATAGCTTATGTAATAGATAAACGTTACACCACTATAATTATTTTGCATGGCAATGAGTTTACCACACTTAATGTGTGCAGAGGTCTGGCAGAGAGCGCTTGATGGTAGTAGCCTCCGCTAACTGTCTTGAATGCCTTTTTGATATCTACTTCATGTTCACTGTACATTGAGTGTTCAGTCATCTCACTTATAAACACTACTTCCCTTCGTTTCGAACTCCACCTGATTAACTAATGTATGGAAAATTTTGTTCATAATACTACTAGTAATCCTAACTTCAAGTCGTTCTCGGTTTATTCAAGTACTATTGCTTAGAAATCGGAAAATGTCATAGATCAGTTTATTCGTTCGAAGCGACTTTTTTGTTGTTTTTAGTTTACCACTGTAGTTAATATAATCATTATTTCTTCCTCTTTTCTTCTGTTAAATTCCTGTGTACTGAAGTAGTGTCGAGACCTAGACTGTTTTATACGTATGTCAAATCCTACGTTGTATTTTTTATCCAGTGATTTTCAAACAAACGGTCTTCTCTAGATGTATAGGCTTGAAAAAGATCTAACGAAGATATAAGTTGTATAACAGTTTGGTTCAGTCTATTTCTTAATATTTTCATCAAATATCTGCCAATTACTTGTTCCTCCGTTATGAATAATTAAGGCTATGCCTATAGTGTTAAAAATTAGTTACCTACTTAATGTTCTCCGCGTTTACTTTATAGCTTAAAGACTAATTAATATTCGTCTATGTAGTCGCTGTAGTTTTCATTACAACTTCTACTGTGGGTAGGTGTTCACCCAGGACATTAGCATAGTCTATCCCTACAAGTTTAAGACGTAAAATTCTGAAGAATAAAACGCAATCAATAACGTTTATTTTTCTAACCTTAATTGTATTATTTTTTCCTCTAAGAACTTACATTGTAACCATATAATTTATTTTGTTTTTGGATTTCCTGTCAAGTTTTCGCGTCCAAAATAAATCTCAATCTTAGCAATATAACGTAAAGATGACTTAAAACCTTTTGCCCTCACTTTAATTTATTTTGCTTTCAGGAGATCTATTCACTCAAGCTGCAGAAATTGCGTCTGGTTCACTACAAGGTCGTCTGGCTGTAAGATATTTTGAGTTAGCAGATGAAGCATACTCATCAAGTGAACAAATCACAAACTGATAGGAAGTATATTTTGACTTCATAGGCGTCAAAAGGCATGATTCAACATGCTCTATCCCTGGTGTGCTGTTTATACAGTTATAAACATCAGTACTTGTATTATTTTTTACTCTCTTGTTCGTGTAATGTATTTCTTACGATCCATAACACTAGTTTTGGCACTATATTGCAGTTCTTTCTATCTTACAGTCATCCGGTTGTACTACTTTTGTTTTGCTTGTTATATTTCAATACACATTTTTCATTTATATCATTCTGCACTTATCTTCGGTTTTTACTACATTTTCGATCAATTTTTTACGAATAGCTGCTGTTTCTAATTACATCTAATGCTATTACGTTATTAGCTCAGTTTGTAGTTTACTCAGTGAAAATCGCAACCTTTGTTCCGTTAGTTTCAAGGATTCTCGTTATGTTGAAGATTTTACCCCTCGTCGAGGAGTATAGGCCACCCACCAGCACTCCGCATCCAACCCTATCCTGGACAATTCCTTCCAGTTGCTATTCATCCTCTGGATGTCCGCTTCAATTCTCGGCGCATCGTGTCCTTTTGCCTTCTCCTTTTCCGTCTCGATTCAGGATTCCAAGTTAGGGCTTGCCTTGTGATGGAATTTAATAGTTTTTGCAATGTGTGTCCTATCCACTTCCAACATCTTTTCCTAATTTCCTCGTTAGTTGGTTCGTTGAGTTTGTTAGTTTCTCGTAGGAAGGCTGTAATGAACCATTGTACTGCCGTTTCCCCAGCTGTCCAGTGTTTCTTTAGCCTCAGTTTCATCTTGGCCACAACCAGGTGGTGATCTGAAGCTATGTCAGCTCCTTTCCTGGTTCTCACGTCCGCCATTGTCCTTCTGAATTTTTTATTGATACAAATATGATCTATCTGGTTCTCCGTGTTGTGATCCGGTGAGACCCATATGGCTTTGTGTATGCGTTTGTGTGGGAATGTTGTGCCGCCTATAACCAATTTGTTGAATGCACATAGGTTTCCAAATCTCTCCCATTCTCGTTCCTTTCTCCTGGTCCGTGTCGTCCCATGATATCTTCATATCCGGTGTTGTCTATTCCGACTTAGGCGTTTAGATCTACCATCAGGATGGTGAGGTCCTTTCTCGGGCACTTCGCTATGAATGATTGCAGCATCGACTAGAACTGATCTTTATTGTCGTCGTTGCTATGATTGGTGGGTGCATGACATTGGGTAACACTCATCGTGATTTCCTTCTTTGTTTTGAAGGACGCTTTTATGGTTCTGGGTCCGTACGATTCCCGTCCTATAAGTGTTCTATATACTCCTTTGGACAGCATCAGAGCAACTCCCTGGGTGTGTGGAGCATTTCCTTCTTCGTGACTAGAGTATAGCAGCATCTCCCCCGTATCTAACCTTTACTGTCCAGCTTGGGTCCAATGGGTTTCACTGACTCCGTGCACCACTAAGTTGTATCTCATTTCCGTTGCTAGTTGACTGATCCTCTCGGTCTCCCACGTTGTCCGGACGTTCCATGTACCTATAAAAATTGTTCTGGTTGGTAGAAAGGGCATCATCTTCGTGACTGCCGAAGACTCAGTTTTCATAATGAGGCGTCATAATTCTTCCTTTAACTTGGAGGACAGAGTTTAAATGGTTTTATTGTTTAATCTGGTTAGCGTTTTTTAGTAAGATTTTTTTCCACAGGATGGGGTTGCGAACCGTATGAGCTACAGGCGGAGTATTTATACTAGCCACTATTAAGTTGTTTCCGTTAGTTCATGTACTTCATTTTTATGTAGAAAACTGATTATCAAACGGTCTTGTCAATATCCATGCTTACTAAAATAAAATAAATATGTAATCAAGTTTCCCAAACCACAACAGTTTATCCAGCTTTGATTTATAGCACCATGAAATTCCTTTTGATTTTACTATCCACTGCCTATTTGCATATCGTCTTACTTTAATGTAATCACAATTTTAAACAAGTCTTAATAGAAGTTTCTATTGAACCCGTAGTGTTTCCAAGACTTGTACACTGCTAATTTATATCCCGAGCATTTAAGACCTAACAATTCTTAATATACATTATCGACAAATAAAAAATCTTTGGAAGTCTTCAGTTCCTGCTACCTGAGGAATCAGTCTTATGGATAAGTAGCTATTTAACGAACCCACTGAACTGAAGTGTGTTCTTAGATGTTTTTTATATCGTCGTCCGTTTATTGAACGAAAATATCGTGACGCTTGAGAAAAGTCGTTACTCTCCGTAAATTTATGTCTCGTTTATCTTTGGTCCCAATATTTCAAACGAGTGACTAAGTTGCTATTTTGTGCGGAAGTTTTAATTCTGACTCATTTCACTTCATAGGAAATGATCCTTAAGTTTTGTTGCATAAAGTGTTATCCACACACTTAGACCAATCGAAATCCTAGAGTTTCATATCAATTACTCTCAAGGGTTTATCACCGAATCAAGTGTATCCACCCTGTCGATCAAATTAGTGTCTCTATCACAAATTTCACAAAGAAAATGCGATTTTGAGAGCAGGATGATATGACATTCTTTTCTGTTCTTGTTTTTCTGTATACACAGTTTCCGTAGCCTACATAATGTTACTGCTCAGTCCCAGTTGCTAACAGAAGCATTGGAAAGCCAACCATATATCTATTTTTGTTCTATGTAATTAAGACCTAGAAACTCACACGATTGTGCACATAAAATATGAGACCACCATAATAATCGAACATGTACATAACTGGGACACGTGACACAAGATGACCAACATGTTTTTGATCAAAGTATCATAACTTATGAACAGTAAGAGATGCTGCAACAGTTTATAATATATTAGTTAGAACGTCGCGATTCGGAAAGGTTATAAATCAACCATTCAATAGATGCACACACAAAACATATTCACTGATCTCCCGGAGAATCGCCTTTCAGTTTCGTTTATTCGTTCCATTCTGAATGTTGCTGTGTTGCAACAAATTGTTGCTCAGAATCCCATAATATATAGTTAGTAACTATCGGATATAACATCAATAACTGTATTTTACGTCTGAAATAGATCACTTCTGTGTAATTAAATAATCGTACCATTTTGAAATTACTTCGTGGTATTACATTGTATTCTTGTTTCAGTTTCCTTTCGTGAACATATTGTTCGATCTCGACGGTTCATGTTTCTTCTCAACAATTAATTATTTCGAAATTTTGCCATGTAACCTGTTTCGTTATCACTAACCCTCATAGTAACACAGCCTAAACTGATAACCTTCAGTGAAAATGCTTCGTCACATGATGAAGTTTATCTGTGCAATTTATTCGATCTCACTTAGAGCTGATATTCCAGATCATAGGTTATCTATCTGAATTTAATATAATCATGGGGGTGTCTAGCTAACAACTTCATAAATGCTGCATATTTCCTGCATGTGACCTTAACCTTTTTTCCCTTTATGCAAAACTGACATTTTTAAGTTGTTTCACTGGATATCCTCTTAATGCACATATCAAATGACTCATTCATACAGTAAATCAAATTCAACCTTTGGATGCGATTGGACGACTACTTAGTACAGACTAGTCTTTGACCTAATGTGTTTTAGATATTTCATACGTTGATTACTTCCCCCAGAATGGACTTAGACTGCAGAGCAAGTTTTAATAACAGTTGTTGAAAATATCACAAATTTAATTTAATAACTAATAGGTCATATGACTTGGTTCTTTTTATTAACTTAAACACAAATGTCAGGGTTGAATCTCAAGGTCAACAGTTGCATTGGTAGAGTATGTGATAATTAGTCTTAATATCAAAGAAAAGAATTTTCATTTTTGCTTGCTGGAGGTCTTAACTACCGTATATTAGAACTGAAGTATTCAGAACTTCGGTTCATGTTTACAGTCATCTGTTTAAAACTCATCTGTCTACAGTTAGTGACTTAAATGATGATGGGAACGGCAACTACATATATTGTGTGGTTAAGAGTACACTTTGTAGCTTCTTAAAACTGCATGTCGAGTATTGTTTGAACTCGTGACTTACCGTTTCTAAGTTGTGGGTTTGTATCCCTCAAAACTATCATAATTTTCTAAGATGTACAATGACAGTGCATACGTAAATGCGCTTAGATGTAAGTTGTGATGTCCTATAATACGACGGGTATTCGCTTTTTAGCAGAGTAATATGACGTTGGAAGTTTGTAGTTTTTGAGTGCAAGTGAGTTATTTCCTAAAGTTTACTTGAACCCAAATCGATTTTTAAGCCACCATTCTTCGGTTCGTGCTCTTCAGAACCAATACTACTATCCTTTTTGATAGCTAGAACTGCTAAGTAAACAGAAAAATAGAATTAGTTCGAAGCTTAAAACACTGGAATTATAGACCAGTATATTGAGTCATTTTAGATCCACAGTATGACGTGAAGCGAAGAGGAATTACGTAACTTTTAATCCTGAATATATTCTCTCAAAAAAATTTTTTTCCACACTTTGTCTCCATATACTTCACTTTCAAAACTTCATTCTCCATTCCACTATCATTCATCTTACTCTTCACTAAAGAGTGTATCCTATTGCTATGGATCATTTACACTGTATCCCTTTATTTTCTACTACTTTAAACTTGTCGAAATTGAAGTCATGAGTTCTGACCTTAACTATTTGGTCTTTTGTGTTTCGACTGAGGAAAGCTGTCACTCTATTGGCGTCATTTTGCTTTGTATTGTTTTTCTTGACTCTTCCTCAACACTTATTAAATTCTCTGGGTTATGTTTAATCCCTTAAAATTAGCGAACATCCTAACAGAAAGCACAGTTATTAAAGATTACTAATTAATTATTCTAATTGTATTTTTAGTATGACATCAATTATATTAGGAATGTAATCAACTGATTTGCCTCGTACTTGTTAATAGTATTTTGTCTATTTTAAATAAATATCATTTCGTCTGATATGCGTTCCAAATTTTTGGCCATATGATATACTTTCATTTTAGTATTGCCGAGTATACATACAGTTTCTGAGGTATTTACTATCAAAAATGTAATAAGTGGAAATCGTTCCGCCTGAAACATGTTAGCTAGATGAAAAATATATCCCAAAACTAACTACGTTTATTCCAAATAGGTCTACAACCTGAGAAACAGCTACTTCAAACAGTAGAACACAATAAATAAAGCAATTTAACTAAATTGAACGAATCAGGTATAGCCAATATATGATCCTTCTAGAAGGCTCTTTGTTATTCTACTTACGAACTCTATTTTTAGTTCCA